CAGCTTCAACAGCTGGAGGGCCAATTTTGCTACATGTTGCAGCAAGCAGGGCTAAGGGAGATGGCTGGGAGTCCTGCAAAAAAAAAAAAAAAAAAGTGCCACTACCCTGAAAAGAGCCCTTCACCCAGCTAACAGCGGCAAGCAATCATTTTTGCTAGGGAGCGACAATGTTCCTTTGATGGTTTGCAAGGCAGCTTTCACACTGTAATTACCAAATATTTCCTCTCAACAGAAGTGCAGCACCAGCCATTCCTTCCAACCTTAAGGCTTTCCTCCTTCTGAGAAGCCTTCCGATTTCTTTACCTGGGGCTCTCGTGAACATCTGCCTTTGGTCTGGACAAAACTAAGTTGTGTTTGTGTTAGCTGGAGAGTTTTCATGAGTACATCTTATTTTCTCCACCACATTTAAGGTCTTCAGCTGTCAGGTGGGGCCCGCATGCATCTTAAACTACCTCACAGGGCTACTGTAAGGACCAAGTAGATGTGCTTTTAAGCTGGAAGGGACAAGGTAAGCATCAGGGAGTATTCTCACTATTGTTACTGGGAAGCCGGGGGCTGGCCCACAGTTCCCTTGTGCAGGGGCACACAGGCGTATTACCCACGCCCTGGCCTAGGGGCCTTCCCTCACCGCCAGTGTTGGTGATGGTGACGGGCACGCCCTGGACCTGGACACCATTGATGTTGATGGTCTGCATGGCTTGGGCTGCTGCTGCCAGCTGGGCTGCGTTCAGGCTGATGATGCTCCCAGCAGGGGCGATCTTTGGCAGGGGACGCTCTTTCCGGAGAATTGCGGCAGAGTGTTTTTTGCTGGTCCCGCTCGGATGGGGAGCACGGGATGCAGGACTGCTACAAGTGGTGGTAGAGGTGGTCACAGCTGTTGCTGGGGGGCTGTCCTGGACAAGGACTGTCTGCACCTCACCGGAAGGCGTACGGATGTAGACCTGGGAGAGGCCAGAGAGAAAAAGTCAATGCCCTAGGAGAGACTGCGCTCTGCAGATTTCAGTGCAGTGTCATCTCCCTGCCCAGGTGATAACTGGGAGCGCCTCTGTCCGCTTGTCTTCTCCACCTAGCCCAACCCTACATCCATACATGGCTGACACCCATCGGATGCTAAGCTGGCAAATGGTGACTGCCGATTTGAAACCAAACATTTAATTTACTTAGCATGGAAAAACAGAATTGCCAATTCTCAGAACTGGAGAATTAGAAGGCAACTAAATGGTGACCTCATAAAAGATGCACTGTGAATGACCATCAAACAAATGAGAACAACTCTTAGGAGGCACAATTAATGAGGAACAGTTTTTTTCCAATTCAGATTGGCAAATATGGAAAAATAAAACATAATGCTCATTGCTGGTGGGATAGCAGGAAAATAGGCACGCACTCATGTTAGGACTGGGAGTGTGAAGTGGTCTAGATTTGCTGGAGGGAAATTTAGGAATATGTATCAAAAGCCTTAAAAATATGCATGTTAGAGCCTGATGGGAAGAGGAAGGCTTTTGAGGGGGAGTGGCAGTAGCAGCCTGGTCTGGGTGTCAGAGCCCCAGCAGGCTGAGGTGTCCATGTGGGATTGCTGAGACAGCTGTGGGAGACTAGTTACATACACGGGGGACGGACTCAGAAAGGAACTACGTATATAAAGGATAATGGGAGTGAGGATGCTCACTGTCAGAGAAGGGAGTTACACATATGGAAAGGGAGAAAACTAGAAGGAACCCTGTGGAATTAGAGGTATTAGTAGAAACTCTTGGGTTTCAATATTGATATATACATAGATAAATGTAAATGTATGTATTCATATGTGTTGCATGCATGTATCTAGGTAGTACACATGTACATATATGTTATATATACATACACATACATATACATATACATAACATATAGTGTGTGTGTGTGTGTGTGTGCGCGCGCGTGTGTTATGTATATGTATAGATACTTCTTAGCTCTGTCCGCTGAGAAGGACCATGTGCAGCAACACTCCAGGAGCAGGAAGCTCACACAGCACTCAGGTTTTAGCTTCCAGTCCCATCCTCCCCTTAAAGGAACCAGGGCTCCTTGGAAGAAATAGCTGAGTCCAGGATTGGGGGCAAGGAAAGTACAAGAAAAGCTTGGAACACCTGTTGTACCAGAAAGTAAGGAAGTGTTCAAAGCATGGTGGTGACACGTGAAAAGGACACAGGAGCCAACCTGAAAGGACTCCCACTGGCCAACTGTGGGACAATTTGAACATCAAAAAAATAAATAAATACAAATGGATTTTAGCCCATCGAATAAAACAGGAATCTGTAAGTCCATATGAACATAAATAAACAAATGGAAGACAAGAGAATGACACAATTAAAAGCCTGCTATTACATCCATCAATAAGAGGAACTAGGACTCCTAGGAAAAGTGGCTGATCCCAGGGCTGGGGCTGGGGAAATACGAGGAACGTAGCACTGACACGTGCTACAACATAGGTGAATCTCAAAAACATTATGCTGAGTGACAGAAGTCAGTCACGATCACCTAATGTATGATTCCATTTACATGAAATGTCCAAAATACGCAAATCCATAGAAATAGAAAATGGATTAGTGGGTGCTAGGGGTTGGGGGGGGGAAATGGGGAGTGACCATCAAAGGATACAAGTTTCTTTTTGGGGTGATGAAAACATTCTAAAATTATATAGGGGTGATGGCTGCTATATATATGCATATCTCAATAAAGCTGATTTAAAAAAAAAAAAAGACAGAGTATGTCCTGGGGATACAGGAGCCAAACTGAAAGAGCTCCAATTGACCAAAGGTGGAACAATGTGAGCAACAAAATAAACATAGTATTAACAACTTGTCTACCTGTCTGTTCCCCTTCCCCGATTCCCAACGCTGTTCCCCTCCCCCCAACTCCCCTATAAAAAAAATAAAAATAAAAAAATAAACATAGTATTAAATTATAACCTTAAGTACAAAATAAATATATGAGTCCATACTGATATAAATGATTGAATAGAGAAATGGAGAGGAGACAAATCTTCCTCACAGAAGAATTCCAATTAATATTATGTACAACAGATACTTTCCCTTCCAGGATGTAGAGCTTAATTCTCACCCCCTCTCACTTAGCGACTAGCTTCCAAAGAATAGAGAAAGGAAAAAGCAACAACTTCTTATGAAGAAACCTGGCAAACACCACCCTAACCAAGTGATAAAGGTTAGATGTCATGTGGACACCATGTACCCCTCATCTAATGTGATGAGAGGGGCACTTCGCCTCTGTGCTATTCTTTCCAAAACCTCTAACCCCAGACTGGGACATTCTACAGGATACCTGACCAATGTGCCTCAAGACTGTCAAGATCATGGAAAACAAAGACTGAGAAGCTATCAGACCGGAGGGGCCTGGGGAGACGTGCCCACTACGGGTCATGGGGCATCTGGACTGAATCCTGGAACAGAAAGAGGACATTAATGGAAAAACTGGTAACATCCAAATCAAGTCTGGACTTTAACAGTAATGTGCCAATGTCAGTTTCTTAGTTTTGACAAATGTACCCTAGTAATTAAGATGTTTAATAATGGGGGAAGCCACCTGAGAGGTGCATTATACCACCTTCGCAAGCTTTCTGTAAAATTTAGAGGGTGCCAAAAAATGTATACACATTTTAAGAAAGGGAAAAACTATATTAAAATTGTAATACTCAACATATACCGATAACAAAAGATGTATACAGGTCATGTGTATAATTTTTTTGGTACCCTCGGTATAACTTATTCTAAAATAAAAAGTTGGGCCGGCCAAGTGGCTCAGTTGGTTAAGAGCTCGCTCAAGAGTTTGAGCTCTGAGCAACAGCAGTTCAAGTCCTGGCCCGAGCTGAGCTGCCAACTCGTGGTGGCAGGATGGCTCAGCTTTAAAAAAAAAAAAAAAATAAGGAAAAAAATAAAATAAAAAGTTAATTTTAAAAATCTCTATCATAGTAAAAGATAACAAACAAATGGGCAAAGGTTAGCCAAGGAATGGTATATTTACACAGTCTCAAAGTGCTATCCCTGCAAAAAAAATGCCCAACCTGCATATCGTCATGAGAAAACATCACACAAACCTAAACTGAGGAACATTCTACATAATAAATGGCCTATAGCCTTCAAAAAAGTCAAGTAAAGACTAAGGCACTGTTCCATAGCAAAAGAGACTAGGGAGATGTGACAACTAAATGCGTTGTATGATACTGATGAGAACCTTTTGCCACAAAGGAATTATTGGGGCAAGTGGTAAGACCTGAACAGGGTCTCTGAAGGAGACATTAGTGTGTTTCACTGCTGGTTTCCTAGGTTGCATTGTTATGTAGAATATCCTTGTGTGTATGAATTACACACTTTCTATAAAGCATTTGTAAGTGATGGGGGATCATGGTGGCAACTTATGCTCCAATGATTCAGGGAAAAAATTCTTTGTAAAAAAAAATCTTGCTGTAGGGCCGGCTGAGTGGCTCAGTTGGTTAAGAGCTCGCTCAAGAGTTTGAGCTCTGAGCAACAGCAGTTCAAGTCCCGGCCTGAGCTGAGCAGCCAACAGGTGGCAGGATGGCTCAGCTAAAAAAAAAAAAAAATTTTAAAAAAAAAAGAAAATCCTGCTGTGATCATGACTGGGGTTATTTTTGATTCCTGGATTATTTATGACTGTGTTTCTCAGTTAAAGGCAAGCAAACAAACCTCATGGCATCTAATAAACACACAAATTTCATTTCCAGTTTTCTGGTATGTTTCCCTTTTGCAAATCCTTGCTATTTTCTGTGCATCTGAAGTTTCTGTTACTAGAACATTTTTTTTGTTCATAACGTAGAGCAGGGATCAGCAAACTTTTTCTGTGAAGGGCAGATGATAAATATTTTTCAGCTTTGCAGACCATGAGGTCTCTGCCTTGTGGTGCAAATGCAGCACAAATTGGCATGTCTGTATTCCAATTAAACTTTATTTGCAAAAACAGATGGGTGGGCTAGATTTGACCTGAGGGCTGTGGATTGACAATCTTTGAAAATGTGTATATCCTTTGACCCACTTTAGGAATTTATTTAGCTCTAAGGTTGGAAAGAGCCTAGATATACAGCTAATGGTATTAGTTGTATAATAGATAGCATCTCCGGATAATGGAAAAATATGTTGTCATTAAGAAAGCTAAATCTTTCTGTATATGTATTATTTCCTCAGGAAGACCTTGGTTTAAGCCCTGCCTCCATCAATCTCAAGATATGGAACCTCAGGGAAGGGAGGGGAGGCATTGCTGAGGATGTGTACACCTGTGCAGGTATCTTCACCCAGTTCTTTTAAGGTAGGTTTGATAATGGAACCTCACCAGATACTGTAATAAGTAAATGAAACAATTTAGAGAAAATCACTTGGCAATACATAATATGCTAGTAGGGAGGAGGCATTCAAAGGCAGGCCCTCATGATTTGTATGTCCACAGCTCAAACTCAAGGGCACTTCTCCACCCAGCAAATTGCCCAACTTCCTACTGTTACTCACTGTGATGCCGCAGTTCTCTATAGACAACTAGATTATAAATTCCTTACTAGAAAGAACTGTTTTCTTAATATTAAAAAAGAAATCCTTGTCCTGAATTATAATCGCAGCACCTGCCACACCTAAGACATGAGTCCAGGTAGAACACGGAAAAATGTGGCGTTTGAAATTTGAGTTGAATCCTGGCTCTTGTCATCTATGCACTATGAGATTTGGATACTTTAAAATTTCTCTGAGTTCCAGGTGCTCCATCTGCAGCATGGGCATAATCTCTGGCATTTAATAAAACCTGCCTCACAGAGCCAAGTAGATCAACATCCCAGATGAGTCTAGCCTAAGTGTTCTTATATCAAGGTAGGCTGCTGCTTCCTGAGTTTTCCTTGTCATTTTTCTCATTAATTGTCTTACTTAATATCAAATTCTATGGTTCTGACTGGAATTGTTTCGTTCTTGATACTGTTCTGAGTATGTAATTCTATAATAAAAAAAATTAAAAAGTAGGTATTTGCCCCCTAACCATCCCCCACAAAAGACTCCCATAAAGAAAAGTGGGCCAAAGTATAGATATATAGATGTGTTTCATCTAATTTCTACAGATAAGCTGTCCTTGGCCCTCTGAACTGAGAAGAGCCCATCTGTCAGGCGGAAGTAGCCACTTACTGCCCACCGCAAACGATGCTGACTCCCAACCCTCAGATCATATCGGGAGATGGGTATCATCTTCAAAAGCAAGCTGAGACAGATGGAGCGCTAGCCAGGTAGTGCTAAGGAGAGGAAAGCAGGTGCAGGGGGTGTGTGTGGTACCTGAGTAGACGTTGGCTCAGCCGCCTGGATCTGAAAGTTCTGGGAGGGCTTCTGGGGGACGGTGGGGAGGGTGGCAGATGCCGCCTGCACCACCCGCAGGGCCTGTTGGGGGATCTGCACCACCTGCTGCTGCTCGGCCTTGGGAGGCACCACCTGGACCTGCTGGACCACAGCTGGCTGGCCCCCGCCAGGGCTCTGAACGATGAGCAGGTTGTTTCCGGCCTGGATGATGTTGTCTGCCGTGGTCTCGATCAGCACCGTCTCCACCTGCTCAGCCACGGCCACAGAGGGCTGGGAGGCGGGAAGGCTCTTCTTCCTGGCTTTCTTATTAGTCTTGGACAGTGGGGTGGGGTGGCTGTCTGTGAGGAGCTGAGTGGGGGCCGCGGTGTCGCTGGTGTTCACAAGGTTGTTGACAGGCAAAGTAAGGGTCACATTGCCACCTCCACCTGTCAACTTCACCACATTGGCCCCACTTTGCACTGGGGTGGTGGTCGTACTCGACTTCTGGACAGGAGCTGGCTTGATGGGGACAGGCTTGTGACTGGACGGTGAGGGGGTGATGATGGCTTGGTTGGTACCAGGGATGATCTGGATCTGGTTGGTGAGACTGGGCTGTACTTGGATGGTCTGGGAACTGCTCGCCTGAATCTGCGGGACTGCCTGATACTGGATGTTGGCATTTGATCGGGTCCCTTTGTTGATCATGGTGGGATTCTGGATAGCGAACACCAGCTGCCCCCCAGGATAGGACGTGCTCAGTTGTGACCCCTGAATCTGAAGGATGTTTCCTTTAGAGGACAATATTCCAAAGCTGTTCTTGCCGGGACTGAGAGGGAGAGGGGCAGGTTTGATAGGGACGAGTTTCCGTGGTGTGGGCTGGGGCGGGGCAGGAGGAGTCACAGCAGCTTCAACAGCTGGAGGGCCAATTTTGCTACATGTTGCAGCAAGCAGGGCTAAGGGAGATGGCTGGGAGTCCTGCAAAAAAAAAAAAAACAACAAGCAGAGAAAAGGAGTAAGACATGAGGGGCTGTTGCCCGTTTTGATCCTCTCCTCTTGGCAGGCTCCTCCCCACCTCCGTGGCAGGCAGGTGTCAGCATCCTCTCTCTGCAGTGGTTCTGTCTCCCCTTCCCTGCTGGTTTCTCCATTGAGTCAGTAAGGGAGAAAGGGTGGGAAATGTCTTTTCCGGAAGGAGCTCCCCGGAAGCACTCTGTGATAGGGTGAACTCACAGTGTGAGCTGACCAGCTACTCCCCGCTGGCCTGTTTCTACTGGGGAAGGAACACTCGGCCCTCAGTTTTTAGGTGGAGTTCCCTTGGCCACAGGGATTAAGAGATCCGGATTCCTCAATTGAGGAAGGATTAAGGAAGGGAGGTTGGGAATGAGAAAGGGAGGGACAACAGGAGGAATAAACCCTCTGGTAAAGTGTTTTCTAGTGCATGGGACATGACTTCATCAACTGGGGAGAGATGCTCTCTGGAGGCTACAAGCAAAGAGCCTCTGGGGTGTGGGGACACAGTCTCTATTTTCCTCAGATGATTACTGGGGTCTGGTGGAAGGACCTTGAGTTTAATCCTGCTTTTCCGCCTGACCCGACTGTGGCGCCTCAGGTTATGTGGCCATGGTTTCTTAGTTCAGAAACAGTGGATAACAACTGGGCCTTCCCTGGCCTCATACCCTAGGGTATTTGTAGTGAGCCAGTGTAGTGTTTTCAGTTGTGGTTTAATGGTAGCTTCAGTGAGTCCTACCAGGCGATGTGGCCCTCCACCCTCAGAGCCCACTGCCCACTTGCCTGGGTGGTGGAGGCAGCGGGCTGCAGGTAGTCACTGGGACTGACAGCGGCAGTGGCAGCCATGCTGGTCTGTGGATCTGTTGGAAGAAAAGAGAGTAATGCACAAGACGCCCGTCGAGAACCCAAGCCCCCTTGCCTCAGACTTTCTTTTGGCATTATCTCTTGGTGGTTGAATTTTGCTTGACTTAAAGAATTTTTCTCCTTGTTTTGCTGTATTTTGTCATTTTCCCACAACGAATATACTCTCCTGTACTTTTTTTTTTTTAAATAAAGAACATTGAGGAAGATAGATACAATTGAAGGAAGTCATGAGAATTTGTGGGGAAAGAATCTAAGCCATCTTATAGCTCATAAATCACTGAGGGAAAGGTCACTGGGCAGACTTGTATCCTAGACCTTTGCAAAGTAGATTTTGGGGCCTACAGAAGGCAGAAGGGTATTACTTCAGGGACTTGAAAAGGCAGAATGGCTCAGGCATTGAGCCCCTGTTGGGCATCTGTGGAGAAGATAGAGATTGGGAAGAAATTTGTCTGGCCTCTGGCTTCTCTCTTTGGGAGAAAGGTTCTTAAATGGGAAAAGGTAAAGAAAGGTGAAAGGAGAATTGAATCTGGGTCTTAAAGCATTTCCAGACCCGAAGGCCACACAAACCGCACCCCGGGGTAGGAGAAAATTTGCAGTACACTTGTAAATTGTATGAGAGCTCTGGGGAAAATGCAGAGGATGGGTAGATCCTGAAATATTAGACGCCGAGCCTTGGCAAAATCCTAGAACAAATAAATCATTGGACAGTACTACGATTACTGAGGTAAGGAAGCGCAGTGATCATAAGGCAAAGGCATTGCAAAAAAACATGTCATGCTGAACAAACCTGTTTTATGGGGTTTTTTATGGATACACCAGGAGAATGGTAAACCCTGTGCATTTTCTTTCAACAAGGCATCTGACTGACATTTTCATAATATTCTTATGAACAAGAAGGGAGAAAACTGCAGACAGGATGATAATCTAGTTTGGGAGCTAAGCTGAACATGTCTCCACCTGAGTGCTGAGATCCACACTGTCCTGAGCAGTTGGCTGCTGCAAGGTCAACAGGGGCGTCTCAAACTAGGGTGGGTCCCAGGACCAGGGTCTGCAGGCCTTTCCTCAGAGGCTTATGCATCCTCTACCAGAATGCCTTATTCTTGTGTTTTCACTGTGAAGATCACCTTTTAAAAATGAACAAATCCTATATAGATCACCGGGAGACTGTTGCTTAACCAAGATTTGCACATTTCATGGCCTGTGTGTGTGTTTACAACTGTATGGTGCCAAGTGGCACCACTAACTGCGTGGGCTAATTAGGACAACTTAATTCTGCACATTTTACTCATGATACATTTGTGCAAAGTGAGGGTGACGGCTCTTCAAAAACGTGGGAGGACTGTCACTAGCTCAGCACTAGACACTGCAGGGTAGGCGTGAGGAACTCAGGCAACCCGGGTGTCAAGTCTGTGCCGTGCTCATGCCGATTCGGGTTCAATCAAGTGTTGTCCTCCCAGAATGAGGTTGTTGATTTGAATTTTACTGGCTTTTCTGTAGTTATTAATTTTATAGGGGCTAGATCAGTGAGTTGATACACAGATTTGTGTGTGTAATTCAGTAAAGTTGTAGCATATGAAAACAATCCAAGTTGACTCAAAATATTTTTTCTTTAGAGTGGTGATGTTCAAACTATTTAGACCATGAACAGTTATAAAAACAATTTACGTCAAGATCCAGTGTACATGCGCACCCACACATACACACGTACACCCACACACTTCCCTGTCATGTGCTCATGCAATAAGAGTTTCCAGAAACAAAATCCACCCTTAATATATGTGATGGACTTTGATAGTTTTCTACTCAATTTCATACTGGTTGGGACTCATTAAATTGGTTTTTGTGCCCTTAGAGGCTGGTAAATGCGGCTTTAGAGTAGCCCATCCATGTCCCAAGTTTGGAAAACCATACAAAAACCCAGAAGGCAAGTTCAACTTGCAGATGTCACAAGACCGAAAAGGACTGTAAACACAATGGGTGTCAGTATTAGAGTTCAAAGAGATCTTTAAAAACTGGTATGTACATGAGGTCCAGACCTAAATGAGAATTCAGTCTTTGCCACCATCCGTGGGGAGGCTGGGCATTCCTCTCAGTCCCACAGCACCACCTGTGGAACACACGGAATGTCATCCTCATGGGATTCCGGGAGGTGTCAATAAATAATATGAAAAGCATTGAGTACATAGTGGGTAATCAATGGCGGTTTAAACTTTGAAGTTCAGTAAATCCTGCACTTAGGTTAAAAACAAAAATCCCACGCATACAGGACAGGAAGACAGAGCTTAATAGTGCGTCTCACGTGAAAACCCCCAGTAGTGTTGACGCGAAGCTAAATAGGAGCCAACAGAATCCAGATGCGGTTGCCAAAACAGCTACTGCAATCTTGGACTGCATTTCCAAAAGTTCAATCATAGAGGAAGAAAAATAATAGTCCTAGTGTGTTCTGCCCACTTGGGCCACATCTGGAGTGTCAGATTTCATTCTCGGGGACATTTGGAAAGGGGGATTTGCAAAGGGAGCTTGTTCAGAGGAGAGCAGCAATAGTTGTGACCAGGATGCCGGAGTAGTGATATCCTCCAGGGTATTTATTCCATCCGTGGGTTCAAAGGGTAGAACCAAGACTTCAGGGAGGAAATTTCAAGAAGGCAGATTTCAGATTAATAGAAAACTTTCAAAAGATGGAATCTTCCTTCTCTGGAATGGTTTAGCCAGAGGCAGGATGTTTCTGTAGGAGACAGGATGTCTAGATGGGGTGGGAAGTTGGACTGAATAACCTTTAAGATTTTTATAATTCTCAAACCATGATGCTGATAAAAACACAAGATGAGCTAGTTGCTGGCAGGGGTTAGAAGGGAAGGCAGGGGCTCTCCCAAGACGCTCCCTGGGCTCAGGTTCACTTGGCTAAAACTGGTGAGTGACTCTCCCTGAGACATCCTCTATTATGAAACAGAAAGACATCAGAACAGGACAGATTGCAAACGAAATGAAAACTGGCCTAGTGCTTCCTATTTATCTCCCTCTCTCCCTCTGCAGTTATTATTAACCTGGACCCAAACCGTCTGAAGACCAGGCTGGGCTCTGAGTGAGTCTTTAGTTAAGAAGCTGCATCGGAATTTATTGAAGCAAGGTGCAGACTGCTGGTGCTTGCCGATGTTGCCCCATTTCAGTTTGGTTTCATTTTCCTCCCCAGCTGGCTCCTGAAATACTCCTCTAGATGCAAACCAATGTTTCTAAGTATTTCTCCTAGCATCACTCAGAGCTTTGTGACCTCTGCCTGCAGACCTGGGCAACCAAAACAGAGACCAATTTCCCTGCCACTGCAGAATTATATCCTGAGATTAACCATGAAAGGGAAAAGAGAAGCATTTCCAGTTGGAAATGAGAAGTGGTTAAGAAGTAGCGTAGATGCGTAACTGCAAGACTATGATCAAAGTACTTTAGAACCTCATTAATTTGGAACCTTATACTTAAAATGCGTAATTTGGACATAAATTGTGCTTAACCTTTCCTTCATACCATTCAAAGTGAGGCTAAATAGTGTATGAAGACTGCAAAGGGACACTTAGGCAGTTAGGTAGTGATTTTTATACCACTCCCACCATTTTAATCGTGCCGTTTGCTTTTAACAGCAGTTTATATCTGATCACTGAAACCTACATTTAGCAACATTGGTAAGTGGGATTATTGCATATTCTTGAAAAAAGAGGCTGCATTTATTCAGAGTTCTGTCTTTTAGACTTTTCATTAGTTCAGGTTGGCTAAAACTTTCCCAACAGTCCCTTGCTGGTGAAGTTTTGCAGTGTCTTTACTATACACGCTCTCTTGGGCTCCAAGGAAAGCTTCCAAGGACATCCAACAAGGCATCCAGGGCTGGACGGGACCATACCTGACTTTCCTTTCCCCCTAATGGAAGTCAACTTAATTCCAAGACCAGCGGAGAAGCACCCTCTGAATATCCCAGCTCTTGATGTACAGATCCTTCCTCTCCACCCCTGTCCCCTCCAGCTACAGCTGTCTTTTCCTGTCTCCTTGGCCAAACTTCCTTGTCGCCCTCCTTTCTCACCCACACATCTCCCTAACCGTGGCACTGGGCCTTTCCCCGCAGCTCTCTGCTGACGCTGCCCTTGCCCAGGTCACCAAGGACCTCCTTGTTGCTAAATCCAAAAGACCCTCTTCTATTCTTGACCTTTGACCATTCCCACCTCCTTGAAATCCCCAGGTTTTCTCCTGCCTCTCTGACCACCTCTTCCCCTTGTGGGCTCCTCTTCCGTTTGCCGCCCCTTAAATACTGGTGATTCTCAGCCTCTGTTCCTCTCAGCCAGTACCTGTTCCATGGGTGATAGTGCCCACTCACGTGGCTTCAGGTGCCTTCCATAGGCTGACGACTCTGAGGTCTTTGTGTGGCCCAGGTCCGTCCTCTGAGTGCAGACCGGTACATCCAGCCCTCTGCAGCCCTTCCCCTTGGGCTGCCCACAGAATTTCCAACACTGACCTGTCACCTTTGCCCACCCTATCCCCAGCTTTCTCAACCCCAGCCACCAGGGGCCTTCTTCCAGATCCGTGAAAAGCCTTCATCTCTGCTGCTGCCCTTTCCTTGTTTAGAGCTCTTCTCTCATTACTGGCTAACATCTACTCACCCTTCAGATCTCAGCCTGGTTTTTTCTCAGCAAAATTTACTGAGCGCTCACTACGTAACAGGCATGTCATTTCCTCAGAGAGGCCTCCCAGGACCCCTGAGATGAGGTTAATTCTTCTGGTAACACTCACCACCCATTCAATAATCATGGGCTTGATGTCTCCCTCTCATAGTCATGGGAGGGCCCTCCCAGGACGGGCCAGGTCTGTTTTCACCGCTGAACTGCTACACCAAGCCTGGTACAGAGCACAGCGACCCTTCAGTGCCTGTGGGTTGAGTAAATGTCTGGTTAAACCAGCCTCTCTTCTGGTATTTCCAATCACCACGAAACCTGAGCAGCATGTTCATCGCCAATCAATCATCAAGTCTTCATGATTCTACCTCCTAAATATCGATCTCTCTCCAGTCTACTCATTGCCCCTAATCTCCATCACCATTATCTCGGCATTAACCACCTTGAGCTCAGCCTGAAATACTGCCCAAAGCCTTCAAAACTGACCCCCCAGCTCTGGCCCCTCTTACCCAGGGCTCCACAATCTGATCAGAAGAATTTTCTATAATCCAAATCCCATCCTGCCACTCCCCTGATTTAAGCCCTTCAAGAGCTTCCAGTTGATCTTATGATAAGCTTAGAGGCCAAAACAATCTGCCCCTTCCCTCCCTTCTCCCCTCTACCTCCTATTTTATCTCTTACCCTTCAACTCTCCCAGTCTGCACACTTCAGTCTCTTCCATTTCTGGAAGTACAACACGCCCTCTCTCACTTGGAGCCTGAGCGTGCTCTCTCCCATTTGTCCATTTCCAGTCCTTCCTCAGAGCTCATTTATAATTCACTTAACTCAGGGAAAAGCTTTCCTGACCTCTTCTCTTCCACCCCCACAAGGTGTGGGGCGAGTGCCCCTGCTAAGTGCCAGTGTATGGGCCCGACAGCACCTTCTGCCACCACATCAGGAGGGTAGTGTGTCTCTGTCCCTCAGGGTCTTTCCATGGGCTGACTCAGGGAGCACTGCATAACAGGAAGAGGCCTCAGAGGGGTCCCCAAAGCCCTGGCCATCAGACTAGGGGCTGTCCCACTGGTCTTTCACTACTGTTGAGACCCAGGGAATGAGAGAGAAAAGAAGCCCAAAGAAATACCACAACAGTAGGCTTGAGGAAGCTCTTTTCCCTCTGGGAAAGAACTTGGCTCAAATTCCATAACCAGGCCTTGTGGGGACTCTGCTTTTTTTGCCTCAAGGGTTCCTACCATCCCAGCTATGGCCTCTTGCTATGGTATTTCCCCTGGAGGAATTTTACTCCGCACAAACAGTCCTTCTGCTGTCTATTTTGGTCAGCTCAGCTGGGCCTAAAGCCAACAAAACAGTTTCTAAGCCTAGTCTTTCCCAGTTGCCTAGCCTGGAAGAATTCAGAGCTGGTAAGGAAAAAGCAAGCCAGGATGGTTTTAGAGAACCAAGTTGGACCTCAGAGGGAGTTGACAAATGGGCTAAGCGAATCAGCTTGTGAATGACTCCAAAGTGCACGGAGCATTTCTGAGACATAAATCTCCAGCAATCATAACAACCATATAAAAAATCTTAATAACAACATAAGGAATTTCTTTGACTGATTAAATAAGAACTCTAGGCCATGGCTTGCTAATGCCACAAGCCAGAGGAAGGTAAATAAAGAATGGAGATCTGACTCCATCCCAGACACCATAGAAGCCATCCAGTCTTCTCTGCTCCCAACTTTGAGAGGAGCCTCAGCCCAGGACCCATTGATGTGTGCCCACAGTTTCATCAAGAAATTAAAATTCCTTTCATGAGCTAAGAGCCATCATTTTTTTTTCCAAGCAAAACTCCTTGCAAGAGTCACTGATATTTGCTGTCTCTAATTTCTCTCCTGCCAGTCTCTTGAACCTGTTCCAACCAGGCTGCCCCCTCCCCA